TAATATGGAGCTGATCATGATGGATGGACAGATGAATGGGTGGAGCTGAAAAGGGAGGTGGTAGTGAACGAGTGTAAAAACAATGAGGAATGTAGAGGATGGATGGATGAATAGGAAAATGAATGAATAGAAGTACTGGTGATAGTCTTTGCTAATTAAGATTCATTTTGATTCTTTGGGTCACAATGTGATTCTGAAGTGAACTGGTTTTCTATCCATTCATGCAAAGATGAAAGCATAGGTGTACGTTTTATTTCCCAGTGTTAAGTGCATCATCACAAGCTAGTGGAATAAATGACTCTTAGAAGCAATTTTTTCTTTCCCTTTGTATACTTTCTCTTTGTACTTCTGTTATTTGGATTATTTGTCTTTTAAGATTTTGTCTGGAGGACACTGAACACATTGTGATAAGACTATGATTCAGATGGCTTGGTTTAAACATTATTTTAGAATATGACATTGAATCTACTAAGATTTTACCTCATGTGCATGTCTGTATTACAACTTAAAATACCTTGCACACTATTGCATTTCAAATATGGTTTATTTCATGCATCTCTATTTGTTGTAAGTACTGATAACCATCATCGGCTGGATTTCAAACAACGATGAGACTTCATATCGGGAGGAAATTCATAATCTTATAGAGTGGTGCTCAGAGAACAACCTACTGCTCAACGTCAGCAAAACTAAGGAGTTGATCATTGATTTTAGGAAGAAGGAGATAAAGACACACTCCTTTCTACATCAGTGGTGCTGAGGTAGAGCAGGTGAATAGTTTCAGGTTCCTGGGAATCAGCATCACAGAGAACCTGACACGGTCTGGTGAACAAAGCTCAGAAATGACTATATTTCTTGATGAAGCTAAAGATGGCCAAATTCCCAATCCAAGGTCTTGTCAGCTTTTACAGAGGAGCGATAGAAAACATCCTGACTGGAAACATCATAAACTGGCATGGGATGTGCACGGCTCAGGACCGGGGGGCTCTGCAGCGGGTGATTAAAACTGCTCAGATCATGGGATTTTCAATTTCTCTCATGTTATATTGTGACAATACACCTATCTACCTATCTCCCAGATGTCAAGTTCGTTGTATATTTTAACAATGTTGTTTGGTGAAAATTAGAAAAAATTGAAAGTTTGGTACTTAAATAACATTTGTGAGTACATTAAAACAAATAACCACATGTGGGAAACCTTCTTAACACTGGATCTACACAGTATATTTTTCCATCAACTGGGGCGAGGGGTAATAATACATGTCTCTCACAGTATTTTCACAACTTAAACTTGTCTGAGCAGTGCTTGTACGTTAAGCCCGGATACTTGCCTATGAAGTGAGCGCAAACACAAATGCAGGAATCCCAAGAAATAAATAACTAGCAGGTATATGCACCACCTTGCTGAGTTTATGCACATAATTATGCATCATAATCATAATTATTATTATTATTATTATTATTATAATCTTTTCACAACATAGAAATTGTTGGTTTGACTGTATGGGAGTGCTACTGTTGCCCTTATTATGGCAAACTTTGTATGTGTACATCTTAAACCTGGGAATCAAATCTGATACTCTTTAAGTGTGGAAAAGTAAATGTTTGAGTTTCTCCATCATGCTTACTTGTGGTAGATGAGTAACGGCATAACAAAAAGCATCTGGAAGAAGCAACGTATGGCGCTGATCTCTATGGCGTGGACACCCTGGATGGTTTTCACTAAGAGGGCAATGATGGAGAAGAAAACTGTGGACAGTAGAGCATAGAACAAACCGATACCTGGACATCTCTTTGGCTTCTCTGGGTCTGTGAAACAAAGAGAAAAGGAGTGACATAACAAGGAGTGAGGGTAGAGAAACAGAACAGAGAAACAGTTAGGTATGAGGGGAGAGAAAGAGAGGAGGGGGCTTTAAGAGGGATGTCACTGTGGATGTCAAAAAATACTGCTTGTTCTGTTGTGCTAATGTTGACACAGTAACTGCAGGATGAAGCCGTGAAGCTCAGGGTATGTTATTGAACTCCATGTGGTCCCAGTAAAAAATCAGTTCAAAAAAACACAAACAAAAGATCTGCAGACAGCGGTGTAGTGTTTGCAAACCCTGCCTGTGGAGCAATAAACTGATATGCTTGTGGAGATAACATTTCAACCTGAGGTCACTCAAGCCTCTTTGTCTACAAAATGCGGTCCACTTACCATTCCATTTATTACAGACAGTATTTGTTTTCCTAACCTAGCACCAAGCCAAGGATGCAGATGTCCCTAACCTTTAAGTTGTCATGTTATAGTAGTGCTATCATATTTGTTTGTGTATAGCGGGTATTTTTTGTTCTTAGTCCACTATACTGCCTAGCAGACACAGACAGGATGATTAGTAGTGTTACATTTACTGCATCACTATTACAGTATTATACTCGTATTTTTAACACTTTTTTGCTTTGAATCAAAAGTCTGTGTGGTAGAAAATGTGTGTGTTTCTGCATTGTCATCGTTTACTGATCCTGGCCTTTTACCTCTGCCAAGCATATCCAAGATTGTCCATTCAGAGAAGACTGTGGGATTTCTCGATTTCTTTATACTTTTGACTGAGTTCTGTTGTTTAGACTAGATAGCTAAGAAGAGCCATCCACACATCTACTTTTGACCTTGTTTTCTTGTGTATATCCAGACTGTTGCAAAGATTGTTTGGCAAGCAAAATCTATGTCACCACAGTTGTGTGTCGGTCCCATGGTACCAGTTATTGCAATTATATTAATTCATTTTAAGACAACAGGGACTACTTAGTTTGTTTGTTTTTTATTAACAAAAATGGAACCTGGCCTGAATTGCAATGTTATTCATCAGTCTGTAAACAATAATGATGAATTACTGTTATTTACTCTTATCTCAACTAATTATTGCCAAATGTAACCAAAGAACTGAAACTGAAACCCCATTAGAAGAAACAAATAAACCTGAAATAATGATGTGTGTAGACAATGCATTTGTACTCTAGTACTAGTGTCAGGTTTCCTTCTTCACGTGCTCTGTGGTAACATCATTATTCACCAGATACAAAAGGTACACAAAGGGAAACTGACGTCAGCGGGCATTGAGTGCAATTCTCACTTACTGGTAAAATTCCAAGAGAAAGACAAATCTCTTTTGTTCCGTATACTTACACCATTGGGAGCGCCAACAGTTTCACACCTCTTTTGTAGATTTTGTAGCTTATTGAACTAGAGTGTCCAGCAAAATATATTCTGATCAACACTGTAGCCACATTAATGGAACTATTTTGAATACATTTTAAAAACAAGCTCTTATAAGAGTACTATGCCTGCAGCTATGGTGGCCCTGCTGCTGTAAAAGCGCACAGTCATCCATCTTCTTTAAGGATGATGCAAGCTGTACACCAGTTTATCCGCTCCACATTTAGCAACCGAGTTGTTAAGGATTAAAGGGACTGGGCATCTAAGTAGTTATTATTATGCATAATTTGGAGAAATTAAGACATATTCCCATTAAAATGATTTCACTTGGGCAGTGGGGCTGATGCCTAGTTTTACTGTGACTCAGCATATTATAAAAGTACGTTTAAATTACGTGAAATTACATTTGCGACAGCCTTAAAGAAAATACAGTTCATATAGTTTATAAAAATGTGTAAAACGACTTTAACTGTGCTTCCATTCGACTATATCCCATAGGCTAATAGGCTACACGTGATATCAGCACAGTTATTACAGATACATGACGTTACGGTTATGTAGCGTGAGAGGCTACGCAGGAAGTCGTAGCTTCTCTGGCTGCTTCTCACGCAATATTTGAGCATCTTCCTCCCATCATAATATTCATTAACAGGCGACACTGGTGTGCTGACGGGGGACACGCTTGAGATTAAATGCCGTTTAACTAACTACAGTGCGTGCGCTCCTCTACCTTCACGTGCGCTTTCTTCTCGGGATACGGGCTCGCTTCCGACGCAAAACGTCGGCGGGCAGAGCGTTTTCCTCTCGCTGCCTTCCGGCGAGTCCTCGCTCCCTCTCGCTTCCTCCTCAGCATCATCGCCGTAATCACACGCCACCCGGCAGTTATTTTGCAAGTGAATCCTCTCTGCTGTCCGTTCATCATCATCACCGCCGCCACACACGTCGTCGTGGTCGTCGCCGCTGTTTGTGCCATGGGTGTCAACTTTGTGAAACACTACAGTAATGTCGTCCTCTACGGATAAAGCCCGCTCGTGTGCACAGTGGTTACAGTCGCCCATGTTAAGATGTGACGGCTGAGCGACAGCATGCCTTCAACAGAGTACTATCCGCCTTCTTTGGTGCGCTGGGTGACTGAGAAAGCAAGGTTAATGACTAACCTTGGTGGCAGGATACGAGCTCGCATGCGGTGGTTACTTTACCCACAGGGGGGCAGAACTGGGCCCAAAGCAACTCTGCTGGACAACTAAAACATTACCCTACGTTTACGCCCATTGTAGAGGGGGCAGTGGAAATTTGAACCAACCAAAACTCAGTTTACACACATTTAAGCTGACAGACAGTCTTTATGAAACAGTAGTCTACATGACAAAGAAGATTAAGAAGTACTTTAAACTCAATATGTAGGCTACATCATATGAATGAAACAACAGTAGGCCAGGATTATGTCTTAGTGTTGCATACATATGACTTTTAACTGCTGAAAGTATTCGTTGTTCATACTGCTGGATTTTTGAGCTGTTATGGATTCCCTAGGTCATAGTTAAATCCTTTCTATAATCCGCCACAGCGGGGTGCCCATAATACACTGACTGAACTGTATATCTTCTGCTTTCAACTATCAAGAAGACACATTCATAAAGCCAAGACAAACCATCAGAAAGAATCACAAATTGATTTAAAAAAAATACAATAAAGAAGACTCTTACTGATTGAATGATAATAGACACCGAACCAGATTTGCTGTGTGAGAAATACAACATAATTTTACTGGCAAATCAGTTGCAACAATAAAAGAACGCTCATCTCTGATTTAGCATTTTAGTATTTTATTAATACTGTCCATAAAACACAATGAGCAAGATGACAAAGGAATTGCTAAAATCCTCGATCCTTACCTAACTAGACGAGACTGACACAAGTAAGCCTATACTGTTTTGCTGAAGCATCTGTCACACAGCATTAAAGGAAGTCGTCCTTGTTTTTGTTTTTTTTATATCTACATTAAATTCTATATCTATGAAAAATAAAACACTGAGTGTGGTCCCCCTCTACGTAAAAAAGCGATATCATATAAATTACTTTACACAGCGTTGTAAAAACGTAAACATTATATTTGGCAAATAGTTGTCAGTGAAGTGGTTAATTGTTATCTGACTTCTGGCTCCTTTGTGTCAGAATAAGAGGACCGTGTGAAAGCACAGGTACTAGGTGCTGCACAGTGGTTGGCTTTTTAGTTGCGGAGTAAAGACAACAATGGTTTTGTCAATGAGGGAGAAAAGGGGCAAGAGTGCAGTGAAAGAGGGAGGGCCAGGTGGCACAGTGGGATGCTTCTAGCGAGTCATTCATCAGGGATCGACACTATGAGTGTCTGTATCATACGTACAGTCTTGCTTAACTGATGGCCATAGAGTAGACAGGATGGAGATGGGTTTTTTTTTTTTTAAAACCTCAGTTTCTCACAGTGTTTAGTGTATCCTTCATTTCATATATTATGGTCAGTGTAAAGTAGCTACAATAGACTGATGGAAAACAAGTAGAATGGACTCAACTCTAAGCAATTAGTAGTCATTTTACCCGCATTTGGTTGGAAGCTAGTCTTATTTTCCAGCTCCAGTCTTATAGCAACAAACTACCCCTAACGTTGCAAACTATGGTGTTGCGGCTGTTGCACTGTCATAAACTTGGATTAGATTCCACTTTAAATAATGTCTTGTAATTATATTCTGCTCTGAAGTCAATTCTCTGACTTCAGAGTGCTTTGTTTAATTAAAGATAAAGTGAAGACAATGTCTCTTGTCCCTGTAGTTTTTCTAGAAAACTACGCTTCAGTCTGAACACATTTTGCCCCTGCCCCTCAAGAATACTTCCCTATTTACCTATCATTGTATAAGTCATAAGCACGACCAAACTCCTGAATCTTTAAAAATCAAATTCCTACGATAGAAACAAAAAACACAGTATGGAGTTTAATCCTGCCAGTACACCTGCAGACAGAAGCAGTGATTTGATAGCTTGTTTTTCCTGAAAGATAGTCAGTTCGCACATTGAGTGTATTTAAGCTCTTTTTTTAAATGGAGAATAAGGCATTCCCTAAGGAATCAATATGAAAATACAAAGGGTTTATCAGAATTAAGTAGTTAAAGCAGGTTGCCAAACATAGGTATCAGGGGCCGTGTAGAATATATTGTCAAACTCAGTGATCATAACCAGTGTAAGAATTTCAACCACTTAATCTCAACCTAACCTAGCCTAACCTGACCTGACTTGACCTAACCTAACCTAACCTAAAGGTCCTGGATTGTATTTGAAACATCTCTTTAGATAATTTGACCTTCTGCTTGAAACTTCCTTTTGTTCAAACGTAGCTGGAGATTGCTGGTGGATTCTAATGAGACTGACAAGTTATCACAGAAGAAAGTATTTGAATGGTAGTGTAGATAATTTGTCCCAAACTGTCGAGGGGTTTAATTACTCAAATCGATCATGAGGTGCTCGTATATCTGAGTTTTCCCCTTGAAGCTGGATGCGAGCAGGAACACCCGGTCGTCAATGGAAACTGGAGAAAATGAACGAGGTGCCTGGACATTCAGCTCCTGAGATGGGACAAACTGGCCCCTATTGGTGTCCCATTGGTAGACCTGTGTCAGTGAATAATCGCTGCCCAAAATGGCATACTGCCAGTTGCCAATGGAGACAGGCTGGAACACCATAGAGCCACGGGAAGGAAATGTCTGGACCTCCTTGAACATGGCGCCATCCCAGCGCATCACCTTGGAGTCCCCGATGAATCTTGTCAGGCATATAAACAGCTCACCTTTTAAAGAGGGACAAAGATTCAGCAGACTGTTTAGTACACTCAGCCGCTAAAATCTGGCTCTGAAACAGAAAAGCTCACAAAAACAGTTTATGTAATTCCAAAATAATGAATTCACTCGTTATCAACAGCTACCTAGCAGAGATGAGAAAAAGTACAGAGAATGTTAAACAGTAATGCTTTATGGGCAGGTTTTATGGCAGTGGACAGTCACATTGCCTCTTACCACCTTCAAAACGAATGCCTATGACATGCCGAGCAAGGAGGAACTAAAGTAATAAATTGCAGAGTTTGAGTCATGAAGTTTTTTCTAGGCTATTAAATTAACCACATCAAAGAAATGGTTGACTCTGGATCAAAGTTCACTGTTAATCATATGACACCCAAGACTATCTTAATCTTAGCATTAAAAACTAAATAATGGCACTAGGAGTGCATGAACTGCATAAGCAATATCCTGCTCCAAGGACAACTAACTTCCAGCAGCTGATACTGTATGGTCAGCGTCGTTTTAGTCAGTGCAAAAATAAACCCTGTGTGTTTACGTCCAGTGCTGTTCAAGCTGCAGCTCTCACCTCTGACACGAAAGTGTTTGACGGAGAAGACGTCCTCCATATCCGGTATGTCAGTCCTGCGGTCAAACTGTTTCTTGCTCCGGTTCCACTGGTAGACAACAGGCCTCTGGGAGCTGCTGGACAAGATCAGGTGGGGTTTGTTGGAGATCTCCAAATATTCGACATCTGTGTCGCGGTACCACGGGTGGAGTGACTGGTGGGAGTAGAAGCCATTGCCGTTCCATTTGTACACGGTGGTGGAGCCGGCCTATGAGAGGAACATGTACACAACGTGAGCACAAGTCAGCTTTAAAAAGGAATAAAATATATTAGGACACAAATTTACAAGCAAATTGTAAATTTGCACTGGGCCAAAGATGAGTGTGTGTGTGTGTGTGTGTGTGTGTGTGTGTGTGTGTGTGTCCCCAAGCATATGTTAGAGCATATGTGAACATTTGGCAACGCCAGGGTAATCAGCAGGAGCAGATGCAAACAGACATGCTGCAGAGGAGGACACCAGGAGAGAGAATGGCTGACACAGTGGGAAGAGTGGTTTAGAGAAGCAGTAGACATAAAGGGGCTGGACACAATAACAGAAGCACCTGTATAATATAATGGACACCATCAAATGTCTCTTTATGCCCTAGTCAATTCAAGTGCTTGGAAAAGCAAAAGTATGCAACCTTTGAGCTGTCAGCGATGACGAAGAACGACTCTCCGTCAATCATGAACGTCTCGATGTCGTTAGGTTTGCGAATCTTCAGGATGTCAATGTCCTGGATCTTGATGAACTTGTTGGCAGAGGTGTCACGTTTGTAAATGTGCGAGCCCCCAAACAACTGGGCCACAATGACAAAGAGGTGGTTGTCAATCACCATGGGCTTGCAGACCACAGTGGAGGTGCCTGAACGCAACAAGAGAAAAGACAAATACCGGACAAATAATTAGTAATACTTGAGTAATATATAGTGTAGTAGCATTTGTTTTGTATTTCCTAAAGAGCACTTAACAACATACCTCTACTTCTCATGTATGCCCCCATTACTGTAACAATTACAGCAACCATAATTGCCATTCGAGGCATAAACATTTACACAGGATTCCCCCCACAACACTGATGCCCTGTTCTTTACCATTTCATACACTCACTTTCAATGGTGTCATAGGTTCTGAAGGTCATCTCAACATGATCCCATTCCAGGAAGCTGCACGTCCCAGCAAACGGTTGGGCAAACACAACATACTGGTCTTTACCAAAGGTGAAGGCCTCCACCGAAATAGACTCAAACTTCAGCGACTGATATGAGGCAAACTCTGAAAAGTGTGACACAACAATGAATTCTATCTTGAAATAATCCTTTCACGATGACAAATTCCTCAATAACCAGTTTACAGCAGTAGCACTTCAGCATTTCAACTGTCGAAAAGAACAGGAAGGAAACAAGAGTGGGAAAAAGGTGAGGCAGTTTAGTGTAAGGCTTCTATGCTTATGACGTGGCAGGGGGCAGACACACGAAGAAGATACCCGCTGTGATGCAGTCAAAAGAGTGTGGCAGCAGGTCATTGAGCTTCCTGCCCTGGTGAATGGGTGGCCCGCTGCAGTAGATCTCGTCCAGGGTGGCATTAGTGTGATGCATCCACTCCACCAACCACTTGAGCTTGCAGTCGCATATCAGGTTGTTGCCCCGTAGATCCCTGCACGCACGGATGGACCACATGGGACATCAGTGAACAGTTGCGTGTATTTGGTAAGACATAATATTGTTACTATTTCACTCTTGAAGCATGCATTTTAAACGTAGGCTTTAAAAAAAAAAAAAAAAACGAGTCCCTGTTCAGTTCCTGCTTACTGTTCTACCGTCTGTCTCTCCACTCATTGGATGCACTTTGGCTTCAAGCCAGGAAAGCCACAACCAGTGTCCTATCTCTTGAGTAGTCTCTGGTCGTCGCCCACTCTCAGCCTGAATTGCTGTTGACCTTGAACATGTGTAGTGAATCCACATCCACAAACACACACACACACACACACACACACACACACACACTGTAGCCTGCATTATTCCAGCTGATTGTGGCAGCCAGGATCCTATTTTGTTCTCTGTAATTGACTTGTTTACCATTTACCCCAGCATTCTGGCATCCTAACCGGAGCTTTCCCCTTCTCTCCCTTAGAGAGAATCCATCTCTTTTTCTTTTCTCCATTGTAGCAGGGAATAATTTCTTCTTCAATCTTTTATTTTCTTACTGTGTATTGCACACACACAGAGTTACACGCAACAGTCACACACACATGCACCGAAGCCTACTTCTTTTCGACCACACTGTGCCCTCTTCCCCTGCCTCTGGCTTACTTTCAACTCCTCTGTTGAGTGGGGCATTCAATTCAGATAAATTCAACTTTTATAACAAAAGTTATCTCAGGGCACTTTTAATATAGACCATACTCTTTATGAATTCCTCTAATTTTTAACACTGTGACCTCTCAATATTACTGTGTTTAATCCATAGGTTACAACCCAGAGTTAGTTCATATATTAACTTTTTTCTTTTCCTCCCATACATAAATCCACAGAAATAGCGATCAATCAGAAAATGGATTAGCTGATGATTTAATGCTCTGTTTTCTCAACAAAGCACCCTCAGTGAAAGACAGACTGAACTCACACTTTGGTCAGTGCGTCCATGCCCTTGAATACATCTTTGGGCAGCGTCTCAAGGTTGTTGTAAGCCAGACTCCTAATCAACAAAGAGAAAAAAATAATACACACAGTGATTGAATTAGCTGTAGACTGTCTCTGCACACAAAATAGACACTGAGTCATTACCCCAGCTTTTCATCCGTCCTGTTAGCCAGCTTGACAGGAGCAGGAGTCGAATGAACAAATTGTCATGCCAACAAAATCACAAGCAGCCAAATGTAAGCAAGGCACAAGTCAGAATCTTAAAGCCCTGACAATATTTATGAGACAAAAGGCTAAGTTGTGAAATAGAATGGACTAAAATCATTAGTGGTAAATTAATTAAGGGAGAGCAATAACATTGAGTTCAGGGAGGGAATATCATTTGTTAGAAAAGGGTGATGTGCTGTTTTTTATGTAAGTATCTATTAGTAAGATGGTAGATTGTAATATTTGATTATCTTAATATTGTTCATACTTAACACTAAAAAGGACTATTCCTCTTTTGTGTTTTTAACTAACCTAAACAGTGCTGTCTTTCTCCAAAGCTGTCAAGTGGACGATATCTCTGCCAGCCATTGAAAACCAACCAACCAAAAGCGGACCTTATAGAGACATTTCATTTGCGAGCGAGGGGCTGAACTCCAAACCAGAAAGAGATGTGAATGAAATTAACCCTCGGCGTAATTCATAAAGGCTGCATTATTTATTTGAGTCGGTTTGCCCTGCAGATAGGCAAGAATGCACTATCCTAACAGATAGGGTTAGAGCAGAGTGGACAGGATTCCAGCAGGACCTCACTTGTGCCCTTCAATAATGTGTTTACTGTATGTGACATATATAATTATGCACTTATTCATAATTTGTTTTTGTATAAAAGTCTGTTTGCTTTCCTCTAAAACAAGTGAAGGTTTCAGTGTAAACGGACAGGAGTACATTATCCCATCATGTGTCGTATGACTTTCTGAGATGTGTTAGAAAAGATCTTAGTAGTAAATCTTTGTTGACATTTGGGAGCTGTTGATAAATTATTGTTTAACTGATTTAATCATAGACCGATGGGAAGAGACTGCAGGTTGGATATGTGACTCGTCCCAGCAATCACTATGGGCTGATCTATTAACAAGACTCGCATTGTAACTCTTCCAATAACCCTTTTTTGTCACATTCTGCCTGTTTAAGTTTTGCACTCTGTGAGTTTTTGGTCAGTTGATTATCTCTTATTTTAGTCTGTTGTGTTTTGGGGTTCTGTCTATTCTGTTGTCAAATTTGTCTGTGTTATATATTGTTTGGCCGTGCCTTCTCTGGATTTTGGTTTCTTTGTGTCTGGGTTTTGGTTTCTGTCTTAGTGTTACTCCTGGTCTGTGTACTTCTGTGTTGGTCGTTAGTTTTGCCCCGTTATGTTGTTTTCAACTCCCTGCCTCTGAGTTCTAGTTCTGTGTTCTCGTTTAGGTTTTGTCTGTTATGATCCCTGTGTTATAGTTGGTCAGTGTTTGTTTACATGGGTTTCTATTATTGTCTGTGGGTAGATTCTTGTCTGGTATTTTGTAACATGCGTTCTGTCTGTTCCCCCAGTAATCTGCCTGCCTGCCAGTCTCTCTGTTTTCCCTGCTGTCTGCCTGCCTGCCTCGTTAGTCCTGATCCCTGTCACCCTCGTTCGTCCCTGGTGTATATGCAGTATGTTTGGTTTTTCTGTTCAGTCCCCATCCGGTCATTGTCGTATGAAGAGTTTTCTGCCTGCTTTGGAGATATGTGTACAGTTGTTTTGGATCTTGTCAGCCACCACTTTCTGTAAGACTTGTTTTTCCATGTTTTGGATTAAATTCCTTGGAACTACATCTCTGTTCTCTGTGTTTTGCATTTGGGCTCTCACCTGCTTTGCACCCTCAAACGTGACATTTTTGTATATTGATTTGTTCATTAAATCATTTGAACTGTACCTGCTCTGCCTCCAATGTCTGCATTTCAGTTCCAGTCCCTTGTGTTTACTATACGCTTATCAATGCGATACCTGCTATCACCAGCGTTCTATGTTCATCCGCCTAAACCATGCATGAATAAATGCTGATAAAGTGTTACACCCATCAAATTCTTTTCTCTACAGTATGCAATTTACTAAATTTTAAAATATGATGGGGGAGAGTGAAAATCACCCATCCATTCATGCATTAAGTCACACATGATGAGAAACACCAGTATGCAGTCAATTTGCCACACTGCACAGCACAAACTCAAAATGTGTTAGGAAGAACTTGTCAGAGATTTAAAGACCGATTTAAGGTCAATTGGTTTAGGGTTACAGTGCAGTTATAATTAGTTTTGTCCTACAGGTCTATTACGTTCTCACCTATCTTTAGTTTTGGCAAGCTTTGCAGTTCAAGAATGTGAACAGCTGTTTACAAAAACACTGTCCATAAAATGTTTAGCAGTTTCCTGTATTTTGTTTAATTTTGTTAACATTACTCAACAATATATACTAAAAACCGTAACCACAGATACAGTACATACTATGCCTTACACACCACACTCACAATAGACCCCACAGAAGATACAGTGGCACTGCTACCAGTTACTGTACCCTCCTGGACACTATAGTGAACTTATCAATTCATAATTTTTAATATCAAAACTATATATTAAGAAAGCTATATGACAATTAAAGGCACAAAATTATTCATCTTTTTATATCAAAATGTATGAACAATAACTCAGCTGGTCCACTAAGACACTGTAACATCCGGATTTGCCCTTCAGCAACCTGATCCAGCTGACACCTTCAGCCAGTAACCTTGGATATTACCACTGGCAGCAGCGCTTCTGCCGACCGTTGCATTTCAGACAATGACAAAGTGATACAGGGAGAGAAAAAGGGGAATTGAAGCACAGTTTATGTTACAGTACCATGAATGCTAATATCCCATTACCTTTCCCAACAGAGGAACCACTTAAACAGAGGATATGAAAGTGGCCGCGCAGATTGTCAGTGATTACTAGTAAAGATAAAGTAATACATTTTAAAAACTTGAGAGGACGGAAGGTAGGAATGAATAACGAACAGATGCAGTTTTCTTGGACAGGAAGGAAGGAAGGAACATGGCCACTACGAACCAAAATACTTACAGATGTATCAGTGCTTTCAGGCCCCGGAAAGCATATGGGGATATCGATGCAATTTTGTTATTTTCAATAAATCTGTGAACAAGACATAGGCCATTAGCATTTTGATAGATTAAGCTAGATTAACACTATATACAAGTAATCTCACTGTGACACTAAAAACTGAAAACCTTTAGTTCTCTGCAAGTCTTCTACCTTTGCAGTTGTGAGAGCTTGACAGTTGTTAACGGAGGGCTATGTAGAAAACCTGAGCTCTGTCCTAATTACACTGTATTCTAACAAAGTATCCAGAGAAATATCCATATTAGAAAAAAAGTGAAAAGTAATGATCATTTAAACGCCCTGCACAACCAAACAAGTGATTTCAATTATTCTGCTGTAGCTAGTGGTTGATGTTGGATGGAGCCAGGCTGGGCATTATGGTAAGTCAGCAAACTTTATGAACTATAAAGAATCATAAAGTTAAACTCCCATAATCAGGCAACATAAGTGAAAACACATGGGTGGTGGGGCTTTTTAATGCCAGCATGCATGGCGGAGTATGCCTTGCTTCAGAATTCACAATTCATAAAGTATGCAGCTGGGAGACAGTTTGTGTAGTTGATGCCCTTTCACCACACAGATGTATATATAGATCATTTATAAATTAAAGATCAATACTTACAGGTATTCAAGATGGGGTAAACCCAGGAACGCGTCCTCATCAATTAGGTCAAATGAATTTGCTGTGAACAATCTGTGAAAAAGATCAATCCTAGATTCTATTACGGTTCCCACAGCATTCCTAAGTCCCAAACTGTTGTTGTTCTTCATATTTCATAACTCAAAGTTGGACTGGGTTGATGTTTGGTGCTATAACAAACTCTGGCAGTGTATCTTTAAACTCATTTAATCATAGCAGGATAAATGTTGTGATGTATTGTTGAATATTGGAAACAGCAACGTCAAGTGCAAAATAGAGGGAAGGACAGCTTTCTGTAACAGACGGCAGACTCATACGGCATTCCTACTCATAGAATGTGGTTCAAGAATGAATAAAATGCAACAGAGAAAAGGCAGCTCACTCCTACTTGGTTTTCATGAAATGAATGAAAGAGAGAAATGGATGCCTCCTCCCACATGTTTCACCCTTTAAACCAGTAATGTAAGAATGGTGACCAATAATATATTGTGCACATTGCTGTATCTTATTTTGAGAACTTGTGTGGTTTTAACTTTAAAGCCCGGTAAGTCCAGAGAAAAAGTTTGGCCACTATCGGTTAAATATATCCTCGAAATAAGTTATATCTCAACAACATTTTAAAACTAAAATGTCCTTTAAAAAAGAGGCCAAGACCTTATTTACATAATGTCAAAGTCTCTTATCTATTTCTTACTGCACGCTCAGCATACTGGCGACTGTGAACCTGTAAAACCACACTGCTGCCCATAGAGAAGCCCCTTTGATTAAGTATAGTACTCTAATGGAGGTTAAGACACTCCAGGTCACCTTGGCACTAAATAATGCCACTCATTTACTTGACACAATTAAATTTAACCTCCTTCTGGTCACAAGCCTGCTATATTTGAGAGTCCATGCACATCCAGACTGATTTAGTGTCATCTGAGCATATGGGAGAATTCATGCCAAGAGAAATGTGATGCTTGGGTGCAATAAACTAAAAGAAGCGTCATTAGAAAGCACGGTTAAGCCTGGCCTTACTGTTATTTTGCAGATTTGCAGTAAGACATACTCACTAGACTCTACTCCTACCAAGATTTATAATAATGCATTTCATATGCAAAAGAAATTGTAAGATAAACTCCCCAGTTAGGTATGTAATTTTGATTTCACCGGTCTCTTTCTCCAAAGTGCTATCTTCGAAGAACAGAAAAGAACAGGTTCATTGTTTATCTCCGCCTCTCTATATCCTCCCAGTAAGCACAAGCATAGCTCCTCTCTAACCAACCCCTGCTGTTAGTAGCTGCAGCCATGTGGTCTCTTGCATAATCCTGACACCATTATAGAGAATCCTCCTTAAAAATCTGCATATGAGCCTCAATGCAAGTCCTCTGGGGAGCTCCTGCCTTTATTTTCTGAACACTGAACACTGAACATAGATAGATAGATAGATAGATAGATAGATAGATAGATAGATAGATAGGCTACTCACAGTAGTTGCAGGGCAGGCGTGTGAACAAAGCTTCCTCCTGTGATTTCATTAAATCCAGACTTGACAAAAGATCTGAATGGATGGAGAACATTTATTAAATAGGATAGGTGAGACCTGGGTATAGACTGAAAAGCAGAGACAGAGTATTTCCACAAGCGCTCCTGACAGTTCATCATAACACAATAAAATCAAGAGTCTATTCAGGTTCAGGACCACTTACAGTGAAACGACGTCGGATGGGAAAGTGTGAGGCACGGATCGGACATTCTCACACAGGGCATTATCTTTGGTGCAGGTGCATCCAGCGGGGCATCTGGGCTGCCTCACTCTCCGCCCGTCTGCTAAAACCAAGCCGACAACGCCGACCCAAATCAGGAGCGTCCATCCTCTCCATCCTCTCACTTCTCTGCCCGGGTATCCCATTCCTTCTGTCCCGATCGAGTACTTCCCTATCACTCCTGCACATGCAACTTCTCGGCAAAATCCTCCAGAATTTGTAAACCCCGGGTTTAAAAGACAATGTTAAGTGTTTCTGGATTAAAAAAAAATACAAATCTTTCTGTTTTGTTTGTTTTAATGATATAGAAGCGGGTGCCGCTGCGCTCGGAAGCAGCCTTGGGTCTATGCTTCTTGCGTCTCAATAGGAAGGCACCAGTCCAGAGGATTCGTTCTGCAAGGCGCAGGATTGCAAATGCGGGACAGACAGGACAGGAGAACAAGAGAACAGCCTCAGATTTTTTTTTTGTCATGAAAAGGAATTATCGGAAACCCACCCCTAAAATGAAACACGCTGCTAAATGTGTTTGTCTAGGCTATTCCTTATCAGACAGCTGCTTACAAAGAAGTTGTCTTGTAGACTCAATGCTGAGGTCATGAATGGAAGAAAAAGAAAAACAAGAGATCCTGTGAGAGAGAAAGGGAAGGGAAGAAAGGGAGAGCTGAAGGAGCGGGGGCAGGGCCCCAAGGTGCGCTTTTTTATCGTCTTTGCAAGCTATTATTTATGCGCGCTTCAGAGCCGCCGTGCATGGTTAATGGGAAGCGGCTATTCATGAGGCTCTGTGCAAATGCACCTGCCTCCCTCATTCAGAGGCTTTTCATTCCGGCTTTGGCATACCACCTAATGACATTAACTGTGAAAAGAAGATGAGTTTATACCGTGGGGTTAAAAATATAGGCCTACAATAATTTTGTGATATTTTGGTCTAAGGAAATTTTGGTAGGACCTCCAGAAGTAGGCTAAAAAATAATCAGCCATTTAAAGTATTTTTTCCTCGTTTTTTAACGCCCAGACGATTAATTTATGATAATGCTGTATTGAATTAAATAGACCATTTCTGCTTACCTTTAGCAAACAAAGGACGAGAGTCATTCAAAGGTTGCTCTTTGTAGCATTTGTCTCTCACTTCCTCAGTGTGCCGTGGAAAAGTCATGAAACACATGGACTTCTGTTCCCGGCCTGCAGTGGCGAACTTTCAACCGAGGGCTCAGTTATACCGAAATATTCAAAAGAGTAGCCTTTAATGCCCTCTTTATTTTCCATAGTTCAAACGCCTCTTCATCCTCTCTATCGTCCCTCGGCGGGAAATAAACGATAAGATCATTGAATTATCACTTATTTAGTGTAACTGGGCTTCTTATTCCAAAATACAAGTCTCTGGTGTGTTTTTTAAAAATAGATAGCCCTATTCATTGGACCATGTTTTGTGATGCCCTCCAAATATTGGGAAATGGTGTGATGGATGAATGAATTAGGCTATCCATATAGGCATGATAAAAGAAATGAAGGCGTAGAAGGGATAAACATGAAAGCACAAATAAAATGACACAATGAATGCAAAACGGCTGTCAGAGGCTCGTTAACCTATAGCCTAAATATCTAAAGTATTCTGTTTTAATATCACCAAAACAACACATTCATTTGACTCCTGTATGTATGTTAAAGGATAGGAAGACTATTTGTCATCCTTTCTCAGCAGATCCTCCCAGAATAATTCAATGCTAAATGCTAAACGTCATCATACCGCGATTTGCTCTCTGCTACGTCATCATCAAGCGACGCGCTTTTCATTTTGTAAACAATCGCTAACATTTGCTGGAGAAAACCATAGATTGTAAAACTGAGGAAACTCATGGATAATCTTGTGAAGGTAAGCTCTATCTTTAAGATAAGAAAGAAACTTTTTTTAATGCTAATTAGAACAGAAGAATATTTAGCGTCTGTTGTAATTCGTTACTAGCTAGTTAGCATTAGCCTAAAGACAAGTTAGCCAGTTGCCCACAGAATTCCCTGTGTCATCTATCGTTAACGTTACTCTCTTGATTCCTGACGGATTTACTAGTTACACTTAACGTTACGCTTTAAGCAAAAGGTGACTGATGCCAATGCTAAACCAAATGTATGTAACTTTACTTTGCCCCCCTCGCTAGCAAGCCAGCCTCAAATGACTTTACAGGGGCAGGACTAACGTTTATAGCTTTACAGTAAAAAGTGCAAAACACTCAATGGCCACTTACAGATGTTCTGCTGTGTGGCTTCTGAAAGCAGATAATATTGGGTTTTTGCGTTGTGGTTGTGTACCTTCAGGTCGTGTGCGAATAGAATAGATGGCGCACTTTTCACAGTGGCAAGCCTTTCTGTTGATTATTCAGACTGTTCTGCAAACTGTCAAAAGGTTACTGTGTGTTTCGAATGACTGTGTATATGTATGCACACAGCTGTGTTAAAAAAACAAATGCAAGCAGGTGTGTTTGTGTGTGCAATTGGATCATGTGGTCTGATTCCACCTACACAAACGAGTTCCTGTGTCACCTCAGGTGCACGGAGGTGGCGGTTATGACTCTGACTTCAGTGATGATGATGAGCAGGGAGAGTCCTCAGAGCGAGGCCTTAAAAGGTAAAAACGAAATACCATGTAATTACATGTCCTTAATCATATATTTAGCAATTAAGCTCATGCCAATATATTCTGAGTAAATGTAAGTGCTTATTTTACTGTGTTATCTCCAGGACCTTACATTTACACTGACAGACCCACAACACAACACAACAAACTTTCTGTATTTATTTGTACCCTTGTCAGGAAACGTGAGGAGGAAATCTTACAGAAGCCATTCCAGAAAGGTCGGCACTCCAAGGTGGCTCACCGGAGTTTACACTCTAATGAACTGGACAGGTACTGTAAAATTGAAGTGACATACAGTCGTTTTGTTTTGATCTATAATCATGGCAGAGCTTCCTGCTCAGTTCCATCATGTATTTTAATAGCTCCTCTCAAAAGAATTCAAAGTTGTGATCAATGTTGGGATAGTATATAAGAATTGCCAATCGTAAAATGAAATCATTCAATCAAACTGAACTTTCGTGGCAATTTGTGTGCACATGATGTACGACACAATTAAAATGAGAGGAATCCAATTAGAATTTTCATGTTTGAAAACTTGTCATTACTGCCGCACTTATTTATTAATTTATGCTTCACATAAATCCAAAACGGCACCATAATCCTTTTGTGTTATATAAGAGTTTCCTGTCACTCCATTGTTCTCACTTCTCACACATTTACTTCATTGAGACCAAGATACTGAAAACAAGACTTCCTTCAGTGACAGATCATTTAAAAATGCACACAGACATCGTCACAGAGGCAAAACTCCTGTAATAGTTTGAGTGCTCTGCTACTCCTCTGCCAGCTACTTAATACAGTTGTTTACGTATACAATGTCGCACATTATTAACTATTCTTGTTCTGTTTTCTGTTTTACAGAGAGGAAGCCAGGAACAGAAGAGCCCACCTGATTTCAATGAATGCTGTATCCTTTTTTTAATTTACCTTTCTCAGTCTTTTTTTTAATGTCTTCAGTGTGAAATGATAAAACAGATTGATCAAACTACATACATTATGCCTTACACATATGTTAAAAAGAATCATATAACAATCCCATATGGTATGTTAATTCCATGCTGGTTGAATTTTGTGGTTCATAGTGTGCAGACGTTACCATTTAAAGAGAGTCCGACCTTAAGCAGATGTGTCCAGTATGAGCGGCATAAGAAGTTTGTCGGTGACTACATTCTTTATTATGGAGGACAGATGGCCGACTTCAAACGCTCTGTGTGAGTATTGTGTCTCACAGTCAAGCTTGACAATCCGTCATCTGCTGTCACTCTAGGCGAAAACTAATGAGAATATGTTAACCATAGCAGACTGTGGGTTATGCATTGTTTTCACCGATAATATTTAATTACAGATTTCACTGGTGGTGATTTTCTCCTTAATCTGCGTATCTGTGATTATAAACCTGCATATTTCATCTTTTCTTTTCCGTCAGAGCCAAAGATAAAACAGATCTGGATGTGCTGCGTGAGAATCATCGCTTCCTCTGGAGGGACGAGGACGAGGATGATATGACATGGTGATCATCCACAGTCAGTCCATCCACACAGGCTGCTTTAATATTCAGTGTGCTTTTGATTACTGAAAACGTTTAGTTATCTTGTCTTGTACCTTTCTTCTGGACTTATTCTGTTCCAGGGAAAAAGACCTTGCCAAGAAGTATTATGATAAGCTGTTTAAAGAGTACTGCATAGCTGACCTCAGCAGATACAAGGAAAACAAGGTGGGATGAATGGATTAAATGATTTATTGATTGATTTATTACCCAGTTTAAACAGAAATACAGCAGCAGTAGGTGTTTAGTTAATGTCACAAAATGTGACAGCAGATACGATAACAGCTAACTCATGTTGCCCGATGATTAGTGACTATTTTGAATAAAGTAGCCAAAGTCCAAATGATTACGTACGTACAGTATGTTGCATGCTTAGTTAAGAGGCTGGCAGTAGGAGGTGAAAACACAAGTTCTTAAGGTGAATCACAAGTTACAACCTCTACGGAATGTGCAGGAAGAAAATAATACAACGAGTATAAACAGACACCCCAGCAGCCCCAGACGCCACTGCCAGGACTTGGCACGATGATCCATTTTTGCACGGCACTCCAAAGTGACACTAATCGTCCCAGTGGTTGGTGCCATGAGTAGAGGTTAAAATTTCATAACTCAGACACTAATCTCCCCACCACTGGTCCATTTAAGATAACTGTTAGGGGGTATGATGTGTTTTGGCACTGTGCTCTGTCTCTAGTGACCACTGAGCCATTCTGGTGTAAGGCCCAGCTTTAAAACTGACAGTATGTTACACCCAAGGGCAGTGTGCTTATGGCTCCATAGCTGCGCTGTTTAGTCTGATGATGCTCTACTCAGATATCTTTCAAAGTCATGTGATATCTTAGACAGATGACATACAGTACATAAATTACCACATAATACCCCAAATCAACCTATAGTTATTGGAATCACTATAGTTAAAATTAAAAGTCATAACTTAAAATCTACCTCTGACGCCATCAGTCCTGTTGACTTAAAACATGCGACATACATCCAGATTTCCACACAAATGATTCATATTTGTTAATGATTGCACATGCAGGCGTGAGTTGCATCATTCCCACAAGTTTAGTCAAATGTTGATCACTTGTGTTGGGTAAATGAGGTGTGACAGCATGCAGATGAATCCACAGACAGAGTGTGCGAGTACGAGAGCTCCGTCAAGGCGCTGACAGAAATACTATTTACTGCATCAGCTGTTCATTGACGCTTCATTCCAACTGCTGGAGATACTTAACGTGTACACCCCAATTTATAGCAAAGCATCCATTCCCAAGAAAACATGACAGATATACAGTATCTCACAAAAGTGAGTATACACCCCTCACATTTTTGTAAATGTTTGATTATATATTTTCATGTGACAACACTGAAGAAATGACACTTAGCTATAATGTAAAGTAATGAGTGTACAGCTTGTATAACAGTGTAAATTTGCTGTCCCCTCAAAATAACACATCACACAGTCATTAATATGTAAAATCCTGGCAACAAAAGTGAGTACACCCCTCACATTGCCTGC